AGAAATAGTTAATGTTTCAAATAGTAAAATTTTGTATCTGAGCTCTGACAAGACTGTCAAAGAATAAAAAAAAAAAATAATAAAAAAATAAATTAAATATCAAACCAATCTTCTATATATAATTACTAATACTCAAATTTAGATGAGTTTTGACCACTCTAGTTGATTTAGGTTACAAATAAATTAGTCTAAATTTTTATTCTTTCTATAATATATATATTAAAAGTAGAATTATACTCTATATAAAATTTCAATTAAATATTCAATAAAGCTAGAAGCATAACCTTACCATTAATATTAAAAAAAAAAAATATATATATATATATACATTGGTAAAACTATATATAAAATGCAAATATTTTAATATAACTTTATAAAAGAAATGTCAAGACTTCTTTTTACCAATTCTGATATTAATTTATTACATAATTAAGGCTAAATAGCTATTTAAATTTTCTGTTATTGCTTCAAATATAATTTACTAAATACAGAATTAACTAATTAAAATAAAAGTGTTAAAAAATATGTTATCATTGTTATTATTTTTGTACTATGTAAAAAATCAGCACTACGTATTGTAAATTCATATTAGACTAAACATATGTTTGATTTAATTGAATGATTGACCACCCCAATATCACGTGTATTACATGCTTTATATATAGGGCATCAGGGACACGAAAAAATATTGACAAAAATAGGGGTCGATTAAAACGATTAAAACCATGTACATTAGGGTTATTTTTTTGTGGCTTTAATTGACCCCCAAAAATATGGTCAAAAATATCGATTTGTGACCAACTTTATATTACCTAGCCCGAATTATGCTCTATACCATTTTTAATTCGGGCCTAAAAATCGATTTGCCTACAATTTTACTTATTGTTCGTGTGATATGATTTTTTGCCTTGATATATTTGTCATAAAATAACGTCATCGTTTATGCAAAATATCACGACAGAAAATTTCACATGCTAATATAATATAAACAATAACATCAATATTGGTCATACGGAAATCTTCTTCATCGGAGTTAATGTCATCCACGTGCTCTACGCAGCACATGGGAGTGACATTAATTCCGATGAAAAAATGTCCAATATGTATAAGTTATCCGGCAAACTCTTATGTTCATGAATTGCCATCTGTCTTGTTATTTTTTTTACGTATTACGATGTAATAATGTTTATTCAAATTAAAACTCAGTCAATGACTCCCTACCAATCATGATCATAAATCGCCGGATAACACCAAATTGTCAAATACGATAATTTGGCTCAACAGGGCAAATGATTGGTTCACGTGCCGCTTCGCGGCACGTGTTCATTTGCCCGGTTTACCAAATTACCGTTATTTAACAATTTTTGCCCAATATTGTGATCGATATAAATTCGTCACATGAAATTGAATATTGCGTTATTATTGGCTAATTGTGAAACATGTGACAATCAATCATATTAGTCAATTATTCTCTGTCGCTTTTCACTTTAACAAAAGAATAAAGAAAAAAATAGGTCTATATATGTATTTTTTAAATACCTATCACACCTTTTACGCCGAACTAATATCGTATGTGAGAATCTATCGTTTATTATACCCAAAACTCGTTATGATAAGACTCATTAGAGCCATATAGTAATTTCTATCAGCCATATATATACGTATAAAGTTTTAAACACTCATATTACTAACTCTATTCTTATGGACTAATATTCTTCATGCTTTAAAACCTCTTTAACATAGCTTAGAAATCGCTTATCTATTGCTAATTAGTTTTCCTTAAATAATTCAGATGCATTTAATGATTTAGTAATTACATATAGTTCTATAGTCACGATCTACGTAGAAATTTCACCTTCTAGGTAAGGTACCTCTAGGTGTGGGATTATTTGGAATTATTTTGCATAGTAACTGTTGGTTCTTCGAAGATAGCGATGAGTTTAATTTTTATTTTTTTACTTGTGAAATGTTACATTCTTAAAAAGTATTTTAAACTGTATAATACAATTGTAAGTGATTGACCAATCAGAAGAACGTGATCCTATATACTTTATGGGAACTCATACAGGAGAATCCAACAGGAGGAAACGTACCCGATCCAAAGTGAATCCCACACACGGTGTGAGATTCACTTTGGATCGGGTACGTTTCCTCCTGTTGGAGAATCCCAAAATTTCCGGATCCGATGTGTATCAAAATCATGGCCAGCTTGATCGGAATTGATCAATTTTGCCCAACATCACTAAAAATTTTGCTATAGACTCTTCTTCAGCAGCATTTATGACATTCGATTCGGTATAATCTAACTGATCGATCTCTTTGTATTCTCTTTTTTTTGACCTGGTTTCCTTGAACTGTTCAGTTACATCAGTTACATGAGTGCTACAATTGATGGGTCCAGCACTTATATTTCCGTAGTTGAATTTATTATTAATTGTTGATTTGTTGACATGTATGTTGCGCAAACGCTCCTTATTCCATTTTCTCGTTTTCTTTGAATCAGATTTTGGTTCCTTGACATCATTAAAAAATTAAGTACCGGTACTTAGTGAGATTCTTCGGCTAGCCTATTCGAATTTTAATCCCACGAATATAGAACTATCAAACCTAGCAGGTCGTCTATATTACAATGGGCCTAGTGACAGAACAGCAAACAGCTGTGCATCAGATCTACCAAGTGGGTCATCTGTGCCCCATCACTAGCTTTGTGGCTCAGCTAACAGCTTTGAATGACTTGACGACCTAGCAGGTTTTTGCCAGTCACGCCACCGTTCCTTATCTACATTGCTAAACAAAAAATATATTTTTTTTACTCACCATTCTGTATTTATCTAGAAGTTTCTTTGCTTTTTTAGACTCGTTCTTTCTCCCAGTTACAACGATGGTTTCGAGTTGTTTAAGGTACTTATCTATTTTACGTTCAAATGGTTCTTCACGGCACTCGTTTAAAAAACCTATAATGCCCCATTTTTCAGGATCACGTTTGAAATATTCGAGTGTCATAATAGGTATTGTTTTATTAATAAATAATTAACTTCCCTAACGATAAAAAAAGCACGTTTGTTTTAATGTTTTATGTTGACTTACTAATTCGTATTTACACATCGGAACCAAAATTTAAAAATAATTCTGAGAGATCAACGTGAGTAATGACTAAGTTGAGGGTTCAGCTTAAAATATTTATTTACGGGTTAGAGGATTTCTGCAAGTGATACAAATCACGTGCCAATGGTAAACATTTATTTGTTGTTATTTTTGCTAAAAGCACGTGAAATTCGACCAGGTTATAAATATACCCTATTATCCTGTGTCTCAAATTTTAGTTTTTTAGGGTTAGGGTTAGTTGGCACGTGGTGACTATTTTAAATTTAATTTATTTATTTTTGGTCATAGGTTAAGAGCCTATACAAGGACGCCTGGGAAAAAACCTTCGCTTTCACGTTACACGAAAATTTCACCTGATCTTGTGATCATCATAGAAAATTTTCCAATTTGGGTTTGTAAATAAGTGTACGCGAAATAAGTGTACGCAACTCCAAATCATCTGCTATCACGTGTAAGATCATTTTCGATGCAGTTTCCGACCCACTGCAATTTATTTAATTTTATTTATTTTGAAAATTTTCTAAACTTTGATCAAAGATATCTCTACTTACCTAACCAAATTTAATAACCTTTTTTTTTAAATTCTGCTATTTTTTAAAAATATAATAAAAAAAGTTCATCAAATTTAATTAAATAGGTGTTAAGATAGCTTCAAAGTTTCTAAAAAAATTTAAACATATATTTATACTTGTTGGCAAAATCTGAACAAATTCTAAACTTTAAAAAAATAATTGTTTTTATAAAAAATTAAATTAATAAAATAATTTTTTTTTTTTTTTGGTGTTAAGGTGACCTCTTTGGTTTTTTGATTTTTATTAATAATTTTTTTGATAAAGTGATTCAATAAACTACTATAGGAGAGTATATAATTGGTTATACATATAAATTTTCTATATTATCTATTTAAGGAGTTTATTTGAAAGTTCTTTATCAATTGTTATACCTAATACTTTTGCTTGTATATTTTATTTTAAACTTTCTGAATCTACAACTTGTGTTAATATTACTGAATTATATCCAGATATCTAGATTATTATCTTAATCTTAGAATTATTTTATCCTTAAGATAAATTTTTCAAAACCTTTTATACTCATTTTTATAGTTGATTTGATATTGTTATAACAAAACTAATACTTGTAATTAGATTTTAATTATTAAATTATTGTGTTTTTATAGAGTTTATACAGATTTTAATATTTACTTTATAATATAACTTTAGTACTTTAGTATATTTCTGTCTTTTTATTTATTTTTTTATTAAATTTTCAATTCAGATAGTCTATATAGGATTATGATTAGTTTATTAATATATTAGATTAATCTAATATTCTTTTTCTTTAGTTCATTTTAACAGTTTAGTTAGTAGTACCTCTAAGTCTTCCTCAACTCAAAAGTTCTTATCTGTTTAGGTACTATAATTAGATACTACAATCTTGGTATCTATTTTCTTAGTCTAGTCTTTATAGTAGTATTATTAAAAATCTAGCTATTTTTTTATTTAGATCTTTTTAAATAAACTTTTTTTAACAGATTTATATAGCTATAAAAATTTATTTAGTATTTGTATTACTTAATTTATTGGTTTGCATTTCTCTATATAACATCATGCTTATTCAGATACTCTATAATTTGTCAGTCATGCTAGTGTAATTGTTATTATAGATATTTTAATTCAATTGTTAATAATAGTTATCATAATACAAATATTAGATAAATAATTATTTAAATTTTTACTATTAATAGAATTTGAACATCTAACCTATCACTTGTAAAGTTAGCAACTAATTACTTTACTAGGTTGTTACATCCCAAAATAATTTTAATATTTTGTAAATATATTATATAAATATAAGAATATATATTATTTGTTTAAACAAAAATCATTAATAAAATTTTAAAATATTAATTTGAGTTTAAGTTTTGAAATTTAAATGCAAATAATCTAATTATAATAGTTTAAAATTTAGAAGCAAACAAGCCTAACTATAATAGTTTAAGATTTAAATACAGACAAATCTAATTATAATAGTTTAAAATTTGAATAGCAAATATATATATATTAATAAAAAGAACTATTATATTATTTGTAAATTTATTATATAATTTGTAACAAATTTTTTTATATTGTTTTAAAATATTTTTTTAAAAAGCTTATATTATTTATCTTATTTTAATACATAGAATGTTACTCTAAGCAAATATAAAGTTTTAGTACAATACTTTAATAATATTAGTTAAATTCACTTAAATTTAAGAATTTTGCTATTTACTATCAGTGGTGATTATTACTAGTAACACAAACTATTTTTACATGATTATAAAATATGAGAATTTAATAATTTTAGTTAGTCGAATAATTATCAACTATATAGTTAAATAATATTTATTAGAATAAGCATATGCATTTTGCATGAAATGCTAATGCTATAATAAATTATTTATAGTATCCTATATGAGAATCAATTAAATGGGGGTGTGGCGACCTAGTGAAGTGAATAGGTTGTCAATCCCCAAGTGGCAGGTCTAGAGTTCAAATTCCAATGATAGCAAAAATTTGCAATTCTTTCTATATTACAGCTAACTATCTTCTGTGATTAGTTGGGATAGGATATCTGTAACCCATGTCATACTAGCATGACTGGAAGGTCCAAGGCACTCATACAACATTGTACAAGGGAACACAAACTGATACCAGGTAGTGTAAACCCAAGATAAGTCCTTAGGCTGTGTAAATTAAGGGAACCAGATAGAAAGATGAAAGCCCACTTGGAAAACCCAAGTAGAGAGATAACCTGAACTTTTAACAGTGCTACTATAAAAACTAGACTTATAAAACAGAGTTAGAACTTGTGAAACCAGGCAAATGTGCTGGTCTTTGAGAAGAGACCAGATGAACCAACCAGGCCACTGGAATTTCCAGGTTCTGGAGAAAAAGGGCACATGCTGGCAAACATATGAACCAGAGGTGTATAGTTTGATCTACCTTTTTGAGCTATCTGGAATGGCAGCTTGGTAGAACTTGAATTGAATACCAAAGTAGTAAGAATATG